TAACTTAAAATAATAGCGCTAAAACTTCTTCACTTTTTTATCTTCTATAGTTGTAAACAAATTTTGCGAAACAATTTTTTTATTCAAAGGGTAGGGCGGAGGAAAGTAAAAAAATCAAATTAGCAAAATATTAAATAGTTATTGCAAAATCAAGTTTTTTAGCAAAAAATATTTAAAAATGTGCGCGAACTATGATAAGTTTTAAATTTTGAAAAGCTCTTGACCCAGCAAATTCAAATATGCAAAAATCTGCAAATTTTTCAAAACCTATATGTGTGTTCAAGAAAAAAGTGCAAATTCCCTTTTAAGGCGTTTGTTCAAAATTTCAGAAGTGTACGCATCTTTTGTACTGCAGTGTACGTCTCTGGGCGGTAATGTAAACACAAGATGGATGTCGAAGCCTGACATGGGAATGGGATCCATCTTTCACAAAAAAAAAATCAATGAAATATTCTGGTCATAAAAAACTATTATGTGAAAAATTAAAATTATCAAAATTTAATGCTTTTAACCTCCTCGGATACTAAACGAACACTGATTTCGATATTATACACAGGTATACGCAACTGCAATTAACTTTCCTTGCATTATAACCTTGATTTACCATCGTCAATTTTCTTCATATCAATAGCAGTTGTAACTTAAAATCTGAAGGATTGAAGTCTCATGTTTTATTAGTATGGATATGTTAATGTTTGATTCAACAAAATGTCGTCGTTAGATTCCGTTTTCTTATGTCTTTCAAATAAAGCAAGTTTGCGCAGAAAATGACAAGCAAGTCTGAAACGTGTTGTAATTATACAGTTAGAAGCATTTGTCTACAGTTTCGTGGTTGGAAATTGTTTTTAGTGCCAATTGTTGCAAGTATTCTGCAAGCTAGCTCGTATTAACATGTACTTCATTTGAGAATAAGGCAATAAAAACTGGTCTAAAGAGACCTGATATATTGCACTAATCTCTTCAGAAAATAATTAAAACCTGCAACTAGAACATACAGGGTCAATAAGAAAGTGTGATTAATGTCGTCTTGAGTATAACACATTATTTTCAATTTTTAAGGGATCCTAAAATATGTTTTCAAAAATTTCATCAAGAAGTGTTCAAGGTGCAAATATTTCCTGGAGCCGTTTTTTTAAAATCAACTGAAAAATATATTGTGTTGATATTTTGGGAGATTTTTAAATGTTGTAGATCCAAAAAAAAATAAAAATTAAAAATATCTCTTGAACAAAGGCATGAAGATTTGCAAGTTTTTAATATTGCATCAACCTGCTTTATCCTGCATAGACTTGAAATAGGACAATTAATCTTAAAATTTCTTTTTGCAGAACTGATAAAAACATTTTAAACAAGTTCAACTCTTTCAAATTTGTCACCTTAGATATATCAAACTATCAATTCTGTTAGATCAAATAATCTAAGTTTGAAATATCAAAGGTTTGCACCATCAGGTTGCAAAGAATTAGGGATTATAACAGTTTGTGGCCAAAATTCAATTCCTTTGTTTGTGGCAAAGATTCAATGCCTTTGGAAACAATGAGGTCGAACTTATACTATTTTGTGTGTTTATTATTTTAACTAAATTAATTTTTAATGAAAGAAAATTTCTGATATCATATCTTTTGATTGTCACTGTATCTGCAAATTGACACTAAAGGGAGCCATTTATTTAGTTATTAGGTTTTTCGTTAACCAATCAGAAGCAAACATAAATACATACAGCTGGCCAATGAGGAGAAATCAATGTTAGCTAAATCTCACAAATTATCTTCAATTGATGATTCTTCTATATCGAACACAACGTTAGAATTTCAATAGCGCTTGAATAGATATAGGAAATCTGTGTTTTTGTAGAATCGACAAGCCAAGCAAATCTGTGAACAATCCCTTTTTAGTTTGATATTTTGGCGTGTGCCTGGAATGGTCCATAAAGCACGGTGACTGGGAGAAAGCAACCGTGCGTATAAGCGTTGAATGACCAATTAAAAGGTTTGCTATAGACCAGAGAACTTTATATAAGAAGTTGAACATGGTACAAAACATGATTTAAGGAGGAGAGTGTGGGGGGGGTTTGTAAAAAATTAACCTTGATTAAAAGCCAAAACTAACGCCAAAGTCACAAAGTCATTAAAACTTCTTGTATATTTTTATCTTGTATGTTTTATCTTGAATGTTTTATCTTGTATGTTTTATCTTGTATGTTTTATCTTGTATGTTTATCTTATATATTTTTATTTTGTATGTTTTATCTTGTATGTTTTATCTTGTATGTTTAATCTTGTATATTTTTATCTTGTATGTTTTATCTTGTATGTTTTATCTTGTATATTTTTACCTTTTATATTTTTATCTTGTATGTTTTATCTTGTATGGTTTATCTAGTATGTTTTATCTTGTATGGTTTATCTTGTATGTTTTATTTTGTATGTTTTATCTTCTGTTTTATTTTGTATGTTTTTATTTTGTATATTTTATCTTGTATATTTTTATTTTGTATGTTTTATCTTCTGTTTTATTTTGTATGTTTTATTTTGTATATTTTATCTTGTATGTTTTATCTTGTATGTTTTTTTCTTGTATGTTTTATCTTGTATATTTTTATCTTGTATGTTTTATCTTATATGTTTTATCTTGTATGTTTTATCTTGTATGTTGTATGATATCTTTGTAACCTAATTGTTTAAACCTTTGATATTTTTATTATGTTAGATCAAAATCAAATAGTCAACATTTTAAATATCAAAGGTAAACACCATCAGGTTAATTGCAAAGATTAAGGAATTAGATAGCTTTGTTCCGAGTAATCAGTTTCTTTTAAAGAATCATCATAGCCAGTACATTATACTATTTTCTATTTCTAATAAAGTTGTAAACAGGGGTAACTGACACAAAAACAAAATGGACAGTGAACAATGAACGCTCTATTAAACTGACACATTTGAGGAATTTTTAATCCCAAACTAATCTTATCCTGAAAGAGTTTAATTTGTTTAAAAAATAGTTTAGTCTGGAGCAAACTGTTGGATTACTCAGCAGAATTCCAAGGCTATATTTGAATCAATGAACCCCTTGCTTCCACAGCCAATGCCCGGAGAAAGATGAAAACGCATTAAAACTTATTTATTTTAAGTTAAAGAAGTTTTCTCAGACCTATTAATTATTGGGCCTATTTTTATTCAGTTTTTAGTGACATAATTTCTAGTGGGATGTCCCCGCTTCACAACAGCATCCTTTACAAATCTATATAAGTAACAATAACGAAGATGCATTACTTTCTATCTTGAAAAATGTTAATTTTGACAAATTTCTGCATTCTCTTTGGAGTAAAAGTATGCACATCACTTTTATGAAAATCCACAAATGAAAAAAATAAGTTTTACAACAGAAAAATAAGGAAATTTCAGTCATTCTGGATCAAAGAATGATTTAAAGGTACTGCTGTGAATTGAACTTGCCTCTTTGTAAATGAATGGTCACATGAAATAATAGTTAACATTTTTAAGATTTCAAGGATCGCTCTTTAAAATTTTGAGATTCTTAAAAATAACCGTTCTAAAAATTAGCTTGATTTCCACAATGCAAAATGTGGACGCCGAGTTCCGATATAAGATATTTACGATTGGGGTTTCTTTGTTCAGGTGAATATCTTCTTTCCGAGTCAAACTTTAACCCTATATGGCTGAGGGGGGGGTCAATTTGACTTCCCACCCTATCGTTTTTTTGCGATAACTCAAAAAGTGTTTGAGCTAGGCAGCTTACTTTTTGTATATTTGCAGTACGCATGCAGTACGCTTTACAGTTTTTATTAGCATAGTCAGTGACGTCGTTAAAGGTTGCAATCTTAAATTATTTTTTCCATAGATCTTTCCAAGATTTTATCTTGTTTACAAATATAAATGTTTGCTAAATTTAACCCATGGATTCCTTCATACTTTGCAAACAAAGATTTACTAATTATTTACATCGTATACTTGAAAAGGTAAATAAAAGCTTTGCATGCAATGTTCTTCATGAAGAATATGGATCAGAAAGATTGGTAAAGATAGGCATCGTTTTTATGAACCAACGAAATTTTTTAAAACGAATGAAATTGTTCTTGAACGATGCTGTCCTTCGGAAAATGTAAATGTATTGTAAAAAAACTATTTAAAATCGTTAAAGATCGATTGCATTGTATTGATCAGCCAAACCGTTAATAAAATATTTATAAATAGTCTGTTCGAACAAACTTGAAAAAACGTAGTTTTTTACGAACCAAACGAATTTTTTGAACGAACTTTAAAAAAAACTATCGTTACAACTACGTTTTTGGGAAATTTAAAATTTTACTTTAACACTGGTTCCCTCAACCAACTGGTATCCCTTGGTAAAGCAAAATTCTCTGAACTTTCTTGAAAATTAGTTGTAAATAATGTAAATAATAATGTAAATAATTATTATTTATCATCCTTTTATGGATAACCTGGCAGAAAAGAGAGGATGAAAACATGAAAACACGTCAATGAACATAATTGAAGTATGAACAAAAGAATGCATAATTTTAAGAAATAATTTGATAATAGAGACTGGTGTCAGTTTAATTAAGAATAAATTGTTTGGTATTCTCACGACTCTAATTTCTTGCCTCGATTTTATGTGTTTTTTAGAAAAATTTAACTACCGAACCACCTTTTGTCTTATAGCAATATGTCAGACATTTTTTAACCCCTAAATTTGAAAATAAAAACCATCTTTAAAAAGGCCCATGTTCGTCGATTTTCTAACTTGAAAGTTTGATTCTGAAAGCAGAAATCCGCAAGGCAATGTTTTAAGAAATCTAAAAGGAAAAAATCTATTTTAATAAGAGAAAAAAAAATTACAACGACACTCTCTTTAGTAAAGATAAAAGAAAATACCGGTTACCTGTTTAAACAAATATATTTATCAACATAATAATGAATAAAATAATCTTCTCAGTCTAAATAAAAATGAATTGTTGGTTTCGCATAATATATATTTTAGAGTATTTTTGGATATTTTAGGTTTAATAAGTCTAGATCCCACTGTAATATTTTTCAATAAAATTGACTTGTTTAGAAACGAAAAGTTTAAATCCCATAATGCATAGTTTGTAGTTAGTGTCTGGGGAATGAACTAAAGATTGACTAGTCAAACTGTGAGATTTATTATTCGGCAGTTCTGGATTCATCTTGGCAAAAATTTGGTTCATTTCAAAGTTAGCAATATATGGCTAAATCGCGACTTGTAAATTACATGTAGAACGTCATGAAATCTTGAAAATTAAATATTCAATACACATTTTTGCTGACTTTCCAAAAATTATCTGTAAGCTAAAAAACCGGTTTTGTTGGTGTAACGAATGAAAATTTTGAGATAAAAACTGTGAGACTAATTGAGGCATTTACCGGTCCTTTACTGATACAGGCAGTGTGTATACAATATAACTAGAGGATATTTATAAATATTTGTGGATTGGCAAGAATATTTGATGCTGAATCAGGTCGGAGCAAAGAGTACATGATGCTGAATCAGGTCTGAGCAAAGAGTAAATGATGCTGAATCAGGTCGGAGCAAAGAGTACATGATGGTGAATCAGATCGGAGCAATGAGTACATGATTCTGAATCAGGTCGGAGCAAATAGTACATGATGTCGAATCAGGTCGGAGCAAAGAGTAAATGATGCTAAATGAGGTCGGAGCAAAGAGTATATGATGCTGAATCAAGTCGGAGCAAAGAATGCATGATGCTAAATCAGGAAGAAGCAAAGAATACATGATGCTGGATCAGGTCGGAGCAAAAAGATTTTCAAGTATTTGATCGTCTATTTCATTCGGAGTAGCAATCTGGCAAGATTACGGTAACATAAGCTTTAACATGAATATATCAGATTTAAATAAGCTTAAATCTGGATAATATCAGGCCAGGTTGAGCTTAAATCTGGATAATATCAGGCCAGATTGAGCTTAGATATTAGATCTTCTAATAACAGAACAGAATGAGCTTAAACTTCTGAGGTCCAGATCGGAGTGAGCATTGATCTAATAATATTAGATCAGTATGTGCTCAGATCTAAAAATATCAGATCAGAGTGAGCTAAGATCTAATAATATCAGATCAGAGTGAGCTTAGATCCAATAATATCAGATCTGAGTGAGCTTAGATCCTATATTATCAGATCAGAGTGTGCTTAGATCAACCAATATCAGATCTGAGTGTGCTTAGATCCAATAATATCAGATCAGAGTGAGCTTAGATCCAATAATATCAGATCAGAGTGAGCTTAGATCCTATATTATCAGATCAGAGTGTGCTTAGATCCAATATCATCAGATCTGAGTGTGCTTAGATCTAAAAATATCAGATCAGAGTGAGCTTAGATCCAATAATTTCAGATCAGAGTGAGCTTAGATCTAATAATATCAGATCAGAGTGTGCTTAGATCCTATATTATCAGATCTGAGTGAGCTTAGATCTAATAATATCAGATCAGAGTGAGCTTAGATCCAATAATATCAGATCTGAGTGAGCTTAGATCCTATATTATCAGATCTGAGTGAGCTCAGATCCAATAATATCAGATCAGAGTGAGCTTAGATCCAATAATATCAGATCTGAGTGAGCTCAGATCCAATAATATCAGATCAGAGTGTGCTTAGATCCGACATGATCAGATTAGTGTAAATGAAGTCAAAAGCCATTCATAAGCAAAATCAGGTCCCAAAAAAGTGGGTGATGGGTTCTATTAAAATCAGTCAAAATATACAAAGAAAAAATCAATTCTAGATGAGCTTAAATTAGGAAAAGCAATTCTGTTCAAAATAAGCTTTGATTCTGTCAATATTTTACTAGAAGAGGTCAGAAAAATATTTGATCTTGCAAGATCAGGGTAGCATATATGTATATAAAAAGCATTATTCGTTTTACATGAGGGTAAAATATGTAAGCTTTGATCAGTTAACAATATAAAAATAACTTTATTTTTGCAAGATCTATATAAAATATGTAAGCTTAGATCTTGCAATCAGATTGAGTTTCATAAGGTCCAAAATTAATTAAAATTCGGAACCGTAAAGATACTCATTTTAGAGAAAATAATTGTATGAACTGTCAATGCCCATTTTTCATTAAACATTGTTAAAATATTACGTCATCATTGTGTAGTGTGTACAGATTTACTATTATATCTGAAACGCTGTGATTCAGTCGGATTTATCATCGTGCATGTTCCAGACTAACTAAAGGGAGACCAAGGGTTGAATTCAATTAAAACGCCTTGGGTTATTAGTCTAACTGTGTCACGGAAGGTAGACTTTAATGGCGGAGAGATCGTTTAAACCAAATCCAGATCTAGATTCTACTCTAGACTCATTTTAGGACTGATACTTTTCAAGGTCTGGTTAAAACTTCTCCGTGTGGTTTGAGTTTGACTGTGAAACTTCTCCGGGTGTAGGATTTAGCACTAACTAATTTTCTGGTGCTTCAGTCTTGGGTTTCACTGTGTTGCTAACAAGAAGATTTAATAATGAACCTTCTTAGCTTTTTTAACACTCCTGCTCTTTTTTGGGTGAGAAGGTTTCAACTTAAAGTAATCATTAGAACCCAGACGTCTCATCGCCCAGAGTTATTTTCTTTGGGCACATTTGATATACTCTAACTGAGGTGTTGCCACCGAACACAATTATCGCATGTTTGAATTTGTCATTTTTGGACAAATCTTAGCTCAGTGCATCACCACAAATAGAACCTTGAATGAAGAGAAGAATCTTGAAATTATTATTTTATTTTAAAAGGGGAGAAAATACTCATTTTCAGATTTTCGATCTCCATGACGAATTTTTTTTGGAAGTTTTGTATAATACTATATCAAGGTGTCTCTGAATACTGGTTCGGAACTAGGGTGACTCTGGAGACTGGTTCAGAACAGTTATCAGGGTATATCCGTGTATGGGTTCGGAAAAGTTTTCAGGGTGTATCCGTATACTTGTTCAGTACAGTTATCAGGGTGAAAACGGATACTGGTTCGAAACAGTTATCAAGGTGGTTCTGGATACTGGTTCAGTTCTGTTATCAGGGTGTATCTGGAGAGTGGTTCGGAACTGTTTTTTTGGATACTGATCCGGGATTGTTATCCGGGTAAATCTGGAGACTGGTTCAGAACGTTTATCTGGGTGTATCTGGGGACTGGTTCAGAACGGTATGTTACTTGAGAAAAGTTTCTCCAAGATCGGAGGTTCCGGAACCAAACCAACCAGACGAAGATAGAAAATTCTCTGCATTGCTTGCTGAGACAGGTTTCTTAGGAAGGGTAGCTTTTCCAGAACACGAGTTAGATATTGGGGTTTCTTCTGAGCCTCTGGATTGTAGGTCACATGATCTCTGAGGGCGGCGAGAATACGTTCATTTAACTGCTCAACCTTAACTCCTTCAGCTAACCCTTCACGATCTGAAACAAAATTAAATTTAGAAATGGAAAACAATTTGAGTTGATTTAAATTCTATAATTTCAACATAAATCAGAAAATTTGGCAGACTGGATTTCAAATAGCAGTAATCAACTAATCAGTAACAATATATTTGAAAAATGCATTTTGTCTATTTTGTGCAAGGTAGCCAGTATCTACCCACTAATGGTATGTTTAGAACACAAAAGCAGAAACGGCAAGATAAATATATATTATCAATGATAACAGTTAGAATTGGTTAAACTTCACGTTAAGGGTTTCCAGCGAAAAGGATAAATCGGTAAAAAAAAATTTGCCAAAATTTCGCTTGAGAAATTTCTCTTTAATCTGTTTCGGGGAAAAAAGCTAAAATTTCACGAATAAAAAATTATTAATTATGATATGATAGAGCTTCCAATGCTAAGCTCTCAGAGAAGAGAATTCCATAAGTTTTTTGCGCAATTGATTGTTTCAGATACAATACTTGCGGTTTTCGAGACAAAAAATGTTTCGCGAAATTATTTTTTGCCAAATTTCGCATCGTTTTCGCATTTTTTCGCTTAATTCATTTTCGCGAAAGTAAGTCCAACAACTAACGACTATTTTTTAGAAATTATCATAAATTGTGAGTTAATCCACTTTTAAACATTCTTAAAGAAAAGTTAGGCCAGTTAACATTTTAAGTTATTTAGTTAGAACCGTTTCTTAAAAAGTTTTATTTGAATGGTTCTAATCTGAACACAAAGAGTTGACAAAAACAGGAGGTCTAATTGTAGGTTTGGTTTATCCCAGAGCTTCAAAAAAATAATCCAGTAGTTTTCCTCCTGCTACCCCCGTCTCTCATGTTACCATGGAAATAATGCGTACACTCTATACTCCAAACTATTGCTCAGTCCTGACGTTTGAGACGGATGGTTTACGCAATCAGTGATGGTTGAATAAGATGAGGCTTGATTTAAAACTGGACGCTTTGAACTCTCTGAATGTTGTCATATGTCGTGTGCTGTGTAGAAAGAAGGCCTTGTGTGAAAATAGTTAAAATGTTTCTTCGCACAAAGAGACTAAATACTCACCACAAGTTCTAATTTTCTAATCATTTTATCTTTGCAATTTACTTTGATATTTAACTTTGATATTTCAAACAATGAAAATTTAAGATTTACACCACCAGGATATCAGATTTTGTGACGTGTGTTCAGTTGTACAGCTATAATATAACGGTTAAATTAAAAAATTTAGTTCAATTTATATTGAGATTGCTTGTAGTCTGCATTATCAAACTTAATTGTCAAAATACGGTGCAGAGCAGTATAGAATTCCTGTATTGAGAGATTAAAGCTTCTTATACTGACAAGAAACCGGCGAGACATTTATTAAGGTTTGCTCCAAACTCATGCTAGACCATGTTTAATTTTTCATGTTTCAACATAAACTGACTTTGATCTATATTTATAATTTTCTTAATTTGAAAACAAAAATATGTATTTGTTTACTAAGCACAAATATATAAGCGCGTTCATTACTAAGCATTTTGTTTGCGAAGATAATTAAAAGGTGAAAAGGGTATAACGTGCCTAATTATAAAGCCTAACTAAGCCTGTAAAAATACAGAGTTAAGCACACAAGCATGGTAAATTTAAAGCATTTTGAGTTCATGAATGAGAACAGGGTTACACCACATATTTTGTTTTAAAAATATTGTAAAATAGATTTTAAAACTTGGAAAAGAATATAAAACTAAACCTAAACAACTTCCCTTGTAATATAGCACAATATCGAGATTTAGATGGAAAGTCGTTGTAATTTTTATAGGAGGAAATATTTCCAATTGACCTCAGATTTGGCTTTGAATTTAGTCTTGGACTTTATACATTTTTTAGGCAAACCATTGGTTGTGCTTCTACCTTATCACTGGGCTACTTAAAAAAGTCTAAATCCTTGGAATTCGTAAAATCTTTATAAATGATGTTACTTTCTGATTAACAATTTATTAACGTTTCTATAGCTAATGTAATCCTATTTGTATATGCACGGTATTTAACCACCAAAACTTAAGGATGATCATTTTTAATTTAATTTTTAAAGTTAGTTTAAAACGAGGCAATTTCTGATATTTCTTTGAAACGTAATTAGAACTGGGAGTAAATGTATAGTAGTATCCCGTCTACGGACCGGTGATGAAGAATACTTCTATGGTCGATCTATCCATTTAATATGGTAGTGTACTGTACTTTTTATGTTATGTACTAATTGATTAAATAAATAAATGGATAAGAGGGATATGCCTGATTTACAACACGGTACCAAAACCTTTTACAGAAACCCCACAGTTTAAAATAATCAACTTGATTAAGTTAAATACAAATAAAAAAAATAATAAAAGCTGGTATAGGCTTTCAGCGAAAAATAATCGCTTTTGATCGCTACTGATCTTACTGCCATCTGTTAATCTGGAGAAAATTGTTATACTGAATAACGTAGCATCCAAACAAATTCAAAAAGTTGCAATATACGACTATACGACTTGGATCGTAAAAAAATCTATTTGATTTCAAACAAATCATTCAGATATTGCAACCTATATTCATCGATTATTTTTCGGCGCATTCGTGTATAGTTTTGTATACAATGCACTTAAAACGCCGAAATAGTTGGCCGCCAAACAAATAACAAATATTATGAAATTTTAACTATATACGATTGAGTCGAAAAATAATCGATGAATTTTGGTTGTAATATCTGAATGATTTGTTTGAAATTAAATTGACTATTTTACCATATGAGTCGTATATTGCAACTTTCTGAATTTGTATGGACGTTACTCTATTCAGTATAAGTCGTTTTTAACATTTTTCTCCTTATAGACGCAACAGATGGAATTAAGATTAATAACGATCAAAAGCAATTATTTTTCGCCATAAGCCTGTACCCCCTTTTATTTTTCACGAACACTCCATTTAAGAATCAGGTTGAATTATGCAGAAGTTGAATTTGTATAAGTTTGGGGTTTGATGAAAGAACGGATATGTGGAATGTGTGGGATGAATCGGTCTAATTGGATATTCTTTTCTTGTCTCATAAAATATACTTTTATCCATGCAGATTATAATAACCGAGGCGGGAGGGGGGNGGGGGTAGATAGATATACAGATAGATAGATAGATAAATAGATAGATAGAAAGTGAGAAAGAAAGATATTAAGTGAGACCATGTATAGATATAGGAAGTATAAGCTAAGCTGTAAATGTGATTTAAGTTGAAATTTATGTTTTTGAGTAAGTTTTTGGAAGTGAGATACAATATATGCACCGTTTGCAAGTGGTATGATACAATGTAATAAGTAATTGAGATACAATGTATTAATATAATGTAATAAGGAAGTGAGATACAATGTAAGATTCTAAGAAAGTAAGATACAATGTAAGATTATAAGGAAGTGAGATACAATGAAGGATTATTAGGAGATGATATACTATCATAGGATTTTTAGGAAGTGAGATCTAATTTAGGATAGTTATGAAGTAAGGTATACAATGTAGGACTTTTAAGAAGTAAAATAAATGTAGGATTATTAAGAAGTAAGATACACAATGTAGGGCTTTTAGGAAGTGAAATAAAATGAAGGATTATTAGGAAGTAAGATATACAATGTAGAACTGTTAAGAAGTGAAATAAAATGAAGGATTATTAGGAAGTGAGATACGATGTAGAATTTTTAGAGAGAAAAAAAAGAGATAGAAAAGAAAAAGAATTTGGAGAGTTAGAAAGATAAGTTAAGAGACCAATATAGCTGATGTAAACAAGGTGGTTTATTGCTTGTGGCTAATTCTCGAAGTTTTGATGAGTTTAGGAAAGATTAATTGAACGAGCGAAAAACCAGAAAATTGCCGAGTTCTTAAATAGTTTATATTTAAATGCTTCATTAGGTTGCTGATGACTCTATTTTAAACATCTAAATCAGAATCAATGAGGTAGTTTAAGAACAAGGTGAATTATAACCTTCCCTCCCAAACCCCCAGGCCCCCCCTTCCTTCTTTCAGCGATACTCAAAAAAATCCCTTGAATCTTTAATCTACTTCAATAGAAGATTGACGTTGACTATCCCTTTAAATAAATAATGATGTTGACTATCTCTTTAAACAATGAGTTAGGTTGACTATCCCTTTCAACAAAGATTGACGTTGACTATTGTTTAAACAAAGAGTTACGTTGACTATCCCTTTAAATAAAAAATGATGTTGACTATCCCTTTATCTACTACCCCTTTGATGGAATAGTTACTTTGACTATCCCTGTAGTTAAATAGTTAAGTTGACTTTTCCTTTCACTGAAGAGTGACATTGGCTATCCCTTTTCTTAAAGAGCGAAATTGACCAGCATCCCTTTAATCAAAGATTGATGTTCACTATCACTTAACTGGAGAGTGACATTGACTATCCATTAACTGATAAGTGGCATTGGCTAGTACCCCTTTAATAAAAGAGTAATGTTGATTATCCCTTTAACTGAAAAGTGACGTTGATTATCCCTTTAAATAAACCAAGGCATTAAACTAATCGATCTAAATATAAAACGTCAGTATAAAAACCACAAAGCTATTTATCTAATGCTCGTTCTTTATCTTCAAAGTTTCAGAGACCAGAATCAAAACTGTCAATATCAGATGGAAAGAATAAAATATTAAAATTTTATCTGGTATTTAGAATTTATATCTCTAATATCATCCAACAAAATGTGTCTCATATCTATGTCAGGTGTAATTTTATCTGATCTTTTTCTTCTATCTTGTGTTTGGTATTAGATTTATTTGTCTGGTCCGTCTTTAATAGTGGCTGGTTTCAAATCCATTATTTCTGGTATCTGGTGTATTTGTGTCTGGCAACAATTTGTGCACTAAGTCGTCACCAGACACAAATTTTTACCAATATTACTATATATATATATAGAGAGAGATCTTAATGTATACATATAATATATATACATATATTCATTCAACTTTATT